TTACCGAAACGGAACCTAGCAAACCACTTTTGTGCTACACGTTCGTTTTCAATATAGGGCCCATAAGCTAAATTATTTTTTTCAGCCGATTTAGCTGCTTTTTCGCCTTGATCGAAGAAAAAATTAAAAATTTAGCGAATTTTCTCTTTGCTGGCGTCCATCTTTGACAAGCGCTTACAACGTACTGAGTCAATCAATCGAAAAACTGTCTAAAATTAACTTTTAGCGTGAATAAACACGTTTACAGCGCCGTATAGTATGACATGATGCGACATGTAACACAAGTACTATGGACAATAACGCCATCTCTTATATAAAAACCGAACGAAATTTTTACTCGACCTAATATACCGCTTTTCTACGCGATTTTATAATTCTTCAAGCTTTCGCGTTTGCTTTTTAACTCGCTAATTGTGCTTCCAACAACAAATACAAAGTTCCCAAGAATTTCTTTACCTTCAAAGTGACGACGTCCCGCCATTAGTTTCAAATTTTAGTTTTATTTCTTATTTCCGTCGAAATAATTCAAAAGGAAATCGAATTCGTATCACTTTCGGATACTTCGGTTTGAAATGCGAAGAAAGGATCTTACGATTCAGCCAAAGGCCATTGTTGTTGGCAGGTTATGTAACACTATAGAATGCTCCTTTTCTTAGCATTTCCTTCATTTCTTGGGTTATTTGTTTACTAAGACGATTGTTTGCTACATGAAAAGCATACATACCTTGGCAATTTGAATGCTTATTGCGCCCACGCTTATGTGCATCAATAAAATGTTTTAATATGTGAGTGCTTCCTGACATGATTGGACGTGTATGTATGGGTGTGTAGATATTTACTTGACTTGTGTACATTTCATACAAAATTGAAATTTATTATCTTCAATTGACTGCACATACGCACACATAAATACAAACAAAGAAATACGCACACTCTCACACACGCTCATGTTCAAGTTGAAGATTCTCTCAAGCAAAACAAAAACGCACAGTTACTGTTATTACATATATGTATATCTTTCAGACTCATATCACATCATTCTTCGAGTTAAATGAAATGAAAATATGCAGAAAGCAAACGAAGGAGAAAGTTCATGTTATCCGTAAATGAAAATGACAAGTCTTACGGATATCGATGTCTGGCTATAATGTGCTACATATTAAACTTTTGCTCCGTGACTATAAATAAAACCACACACACACATACGCAGACCCATATATGTATACCTACCAGCAACCAATAAACAAGGCGCTATGAAACAAATTTGTAAACATATCATGTGTGGGTGTGGGTGTAGATGTGGTGGTGAAAAGACCCGTGGTAAATACACTAAGGTTGTTAAAGGTTGTGAAAGGCTTGCTTGCTTTCTAGCCTGCTTGTCTGCTGTTGTCAGGTGGACGAACACCTAAAAACAATACGAAAGACGGGCGAATTGAGTCACAGGCACTGGCACACCTGTGGTCGAAGGTCAATGTTAAATAAATAACTGTATATAAATTATTTGTATACAATTAAGTGACAGCCATTCTCTTGTGTAACGTTGAATATTGCCATAATGTTGGCAACAAATGGCTTGCCATTTTGTAAGTGTACTCGTGTGTGTGTGTGTGTTGGCAGCGGTATTTGCGCATTCGATTTGAGTCAATGGATTGAAATGAAATTGAATTGAATGAAAGTGAAGCGAAGTGAATTGGGTGGAATTGGAAAAATTGTTTAATATTTTATTTTTATTTTTCTCGGGAATATTCAGGTACATGCCTGGCCTCAAATTTAATATAATAACTACACAAGCATACTTTTGCGTTTAAATTTCATAATACAATTTATACTTAATAAATTTTTCAAGAACTCATAGTGAGAGAATTATAAGTACAAGAAGCCTCAAAAGTTGCTAAAATTCTCGTTGTTGTTTATTTAAAACATGTTGGGTGACAAAAGAAATAAAAAATATGCTAAATATGTATTCACCAATTTCAGCTAAATTTCAGGGTTCAAAAGTTGAATTAAAAGAAAATAAAGAGAAAACATTTTCTAAATTATTTTTGCATTTTTACAAACAAAGCAGAGTGAAGAAATCTCTAGCTTAATTTTTTGAATGGAGAAGTTATCGTCGAAAAGGTGTCAAGAACTTTTAAAAACTTCAAGGCTACCGATACTGTTGAAATCTTTTCCGTTTTTAAGTGTCAGACTTACTAACACAGCGAATTGCTTCGACATAAACTGCCTGTATCAGGCTTGCTTACGCGAGAAGCAGGTGGCAAGAAGGCAAAACGATTCTTATTCCTGTTAGTCTGCACTATTCCTTACCAGAGGCTGACATCCTTTCATTTGAAAAGTATGGAAGGGAGCTGCGACGGCTGCATTAAATAATAACTACCTATCATCCCGACAGCACGAATAAGTCGAAAGTATATCAACTAAAGAAAAAATTAAGAATTTTATATATGAATTAAGAGTGGACTCTCCTTGAGGTATTTTTTAACGTAGAGTCTGCTTGCAGCTTGAGTATACCAACACTACCGAAATGAGCTCGTCAATGGCCTTATTTGGGATTAGCTAAAATTTACTTGCCTGTGAAACAGAAGATTTTATATTAACAAAAATCAAATATGCCACTCCACCAGAAAATATATCTTCTCGCCTGTTATGATCACCTTTTTAAACCACTGCACTGGAGAACTCCTGGAGAACTCAAAAGTAATATGTTATGCAGACGATCTTATCATCCTATCTTCTGGCTAACGTTACAACCGACTATCGCGAAGAACAGAGAGCTTTCTGAGTGGTCGCAAGTAAATGTCCTGGGGGACAACGACTCTTAGTAATACTGGAAAAATCTGAGATCTGCCTCTTCACAAGATCATAAATTCAACCGTCCATCATTAAGAGACTACTTTATAATTCTATCTTGATGTAAATCTTGTTAAAAAGCTTGCTGAAAGTGGTGTCAGTAAGGCGCTCCGAATTTGGATTACCTGCAGAAGAAGCGCCGCATTAAAGTGTATACGTAGCTGTCCACTTAGTATAGTGGAGGAGATGACAACTATCTCAACCATGCCCTTAGAAATCTTACTTGACTTGAGGCCACTTAACATACAAGTGATGTATTTAGCGGTGATAACTACTAGCCATACAAATATTTTACACAGTTAGGAGCCTAAGCGTAAAATATGCTTGAGAAACGTATACTTTATGCCGGGTAGAGGGCACCTATAACTTCCCTAGTATGGAAACATTAACATAACATCGAATATATCCATATCTATACTCATGACTCTGAATATGAGGCAGGCAGTCGAGCGTCAACACAAAGTTCAAATGCAGGACCGATGGACAGTGGCAGGAAAAGCAAGGCGAAAATCAGTTGGGTTGCAAGTCACACAAAAGTAAGAGGCTATGTATTGAAGATAACTGCCTGCAAGCATCCCATGCTCTCAAGTTTGACCTGACCTATGATGAATATTGATGATATTTGATGAGGCTAAGCTAAATGATCTCCAACAACGCCAAAACGTTTGCCTCAATTTGCAGAGCTGTGATCTTAAATGATGTCCCTGGTAATGTGATGCAAGCGGTATCTTCTATTTATCAGAAATACACTAAATACTCCCTAATTCTACCTAACCTAACATATGTTATATATTCTATTTTTTGCTTATCGGGATGTGGGTACCCATGAGAGAGCCAAAAGTTATCGTGGAATAAATCAGATAATTTGAACTGTAGTAACCGAATGGTTGAATTATCTATTGTCCCTCTGAAGGCTAGGGTGCGATTTTTGCTTCGACCAACATCCAGGATGATGGTATAGCGATTTTTGAAATAAGTTTTCAATTTCACATTTATATATAGAATTATAGCGATTTTCGTAAATTTAAAAATTACCGTTGCATGGTTGATGGGCATGAACTTGGTACGATTTCACTCATTTACAATAGATATTTGACTTCAGACACAAATAAGCAACGTGATAACAAAGTTTCATTAAAACCGGTGCTAAATTATCATGTCCATATCTATCTGTATATTTCGACTACGGTAACGGCATCCGTTGCGCGAACAAACGTAATATACTCTCAGCATATTACACAGTACACTGGAGTGCAAGCACGACAAAACGTCGGAAAATATGCAAACCTATATAACTGCAGACATTGAATAGATCGGCTGGAGATAAAGTGGACTAAGTGCAATTGTGCAATTCCCAAATCGTTTTTGCACAAAAAATAGTGCGAGTGATATCAACGCAAAAAAGTGCAATAAAAAACTGGAACCACACGCAATCGCATGTATTAGAAACCGACGCGTAAAATAACTGACAATAGCATATGCACAAATGCCCATGCATGCGCACTTCTATGCTTTCAAGCTCGTCTGTCGAAAGAGTGAAATCAACAGTAGTTTTTGCTGCGAAAATAATTCGTGATATTTTTTCTATGCTACGCTGAAAACTCGGTTTAAGCGTGCGAAAAGGCGATTGTGTATGTAAAAATGTCGTCGGCAGATGTATGTGCCGACATGTGTGTGTGTGTACCGGAGTGGGAGTGTGGGGGCGCATTAATCCCCTAAGGCACACATGAGTGAGTCCGCTTTCGCAGCTTTATTTGCCACACTCTGTTGGCTGGCGCCGTCGCCAACGCCTGACAGCAAGCTGCTATAGCTGACAGCCGCATCCAATTAAATTCCACTTGTGCTGCGATTATTTCTGCCCACATGGATTCCTCAGCCCACGCATCTCAGACCACACACTGCTCTACGTGGCTCTTACCTTGCAGTCGACAATTTTCCACCGCCAACACTGCAATTGTTCTCTGCAGTTGTAGCAGGCTAAACGTTTGTACCTCACATGCCGTCTCCGGCATGCATATGCATTTTACTTTTCCACCATTGTCTTCTGCTGGTTAGTTGACTGCGTTACGTATTTTCTACTTTTTTCTTTTCGTTTTTTTTTTTTTTTAATTTCCTCTTTTCTCTTGCTACTCCTTGGTTTTCTCACTCACCTGTAAAGTGGTTTGCCAGCACTCTCACGAAACCACAATACCATATAAACTCTGTCATCCTTCGCTTCCGGCTCAATGTCACATGGCAGCGTTGCGGTGCGTCCCAGCACAGCCTCAACGGCGACGGTGGATACTGCAAATAAAAAGATACGTAAAGAGTGGGAAATTAGCAAAGCAGAAATTAAATGGAGATTTAGAGCTAAGTGTGTGTATGATGTAAGTAAGAAAAGGTAAAATAAAATTAAAAACAAAAAGCGACTTGAAGTCCGTACATTAATGCTTTTTTGTCTCAAATTTATTTTTAAATAAATTACTTGTTTTTTTTTAATTAATCTTTTAACGCTTCTGCACATTGACTTTTGTGCTTGTAATATCCTAAGCTATTTTGATAATATTTTGTGATTATGCAGAAAATCTGTTTTTTTTAGTAAAGCTCTGACCTCTCATTTTTAAAGGATAAAATAATTTGATTGTATAGTAGATTCGAAATTTTTCATAGTTGTATTAAAGCTAGACGAAATGGGCTTGTTATGCAATGACAAAAATTAAGAAAGCAGAAAATCAGTTTGTAACGGTTAAAGACTTTATATTCTGTCACTCATTCCGGAGTGTTACAGAACTTGAGAGATTAGGTATTCTTTTTTCGACTTAACTTAATTTCTATCACCCGAACCTAATCTTATCTTTGGTTGTCATAATTTGTGGTTAAGTGATTAACCGGGCTGTAGCATTTGGAAGGCCAGCGTTAGAGTCCTGGCGCAACTAATATCTGATATTAAAAAAAAAACTTTTCCAACACCTCTCGGCAGAGTAGTTTTGCGAGTTTATTTCAAAATTGAAATAAAAAGCTGTTTATTAAAATCTATCGTGGGTTAGGAGCCGGCTTAGAATAAACTGTGAGTAGAACCGTTTGTTAGGAAGACATCAAAACGCACACCACAAATGGAAGGAGGGGCTCGACTGAAAATCGCTTCAGCGGTTACAAAAAACTTAAAAACCAACCAAAGGCGTTCTACCATAACACGTGCTCTAGCGATAGCAAAATAGCTACATATCATTTCGACTCCATTAGTGGTCGAAAAAACGGCATTTTCATTCTGCTTGAAACTTACAACATCATTAATTAATACCTTTGCAACATCACTTTCAGAATGCAAGCAGCAATAGTGAATACCACCAATTACATTGTGAGATCCTAGAACATTGCAAGAAAGTTGGATTTTACCACTTTATATTCGTACAAGCGGAACTAAATCAGATATCGGTACTGCACATGCTGTGACAAATAAAAAGGGTGATTTTTTAAGAGCTATAAGAAAGTTGCATTAAATCTTTTCGTGGTCCATGTAATTTAATGTTTGAAGATTATTTCATGACCCCGACATCGCCTCCAATGGTCCATCCACTTAGTCCAATTTCGGCATACTCTTTCCAACATTTCGGCCGGTATCTGACAACAAATGGATCCTTGGATTCCTATGTATGTGCGATAATATTAATAATTGCTGGTACAAGTAATTGTTTTTCTACCATCTGATGGTCCATATGGTGACCCGACTGTCTTAGGAACGTTTGGATTTTAGTCGCCGCTTATGTCAGACATGTCTTACCGCGGATGAATTCTTTAACATCTAACCTGCAGGGTGCAAATTAGTCATCGCTTGCGGTGTGATCGATCACAGGGGCATAGGTCATCATCGGCTATTTTATAACGTACTTGCGTTATTTGGAAATATACTCAGACAATTCGGGTGTAAGCCTTGGTGTCAGCGGGAGAACAAAATGATTTTTTATTGAAGAACCAGTTATCTCTTCGAAATATTCGTGCTGTCATCCTTGAGCTGTTTGTTGTCTTATATTGGTATTTGCATATATGAAATTTATAATCAGGAGCTTGCTGCTTGCTTTCTTGGAGTATTGATCAGCCAACTAATTGCCAGCTATGCCCAAATGAGCTTTCACTCAGTAAAAGTTAATTGAATGTTTTCGGCTGAGGATATACAAATGCTCATGAATTGAAGCGATGAGAAGTGTTGCATTTCTTCTATTTTTGGGCGCATGGAGAGATGGTCTGATATCTCTAAATATGTGCAATGTACGTGTTTGCCAGTTTACTTTTTGCCTAAATAAGTGCCATATTTATGTGTGGGCCAGATTTCAGCTTCAGGGAATATTTTTGCGATTGCAACTCATTTGCTTCACAACTGTCCTAGATATGCCCATTGGAGGCGCACACATATAATACTTTGGGAAGGACTCAATGTTTCTCCATTTTCTAAATACGAATTAGTTAAAGCCGAGAACCTGATAATATCTGTAGTCTGTAAAATTAAAAATGCAATAAAAATGTATGCTATGCAATGTATAATCAATATGCTGTTAGCGCTTAGTGCCAAAGGAAAAATGAACAGCCCAAAGTAATTAAACTTTAACCAATTAAGACTTACTTAATATTTTCTTATTCCGAGGAAATGTAAACTACTGTTGTGGGATGAATTAATCTATCCAAATCCATTTTTACCTAATCAGACCTAAGCAAACTAACCTACTTTGACTTAACTTGAACTTTTTATATTTTTGAATCGGAATCTCTTCAAAACCTTTAGAAAACCAACTTTTGGTACAAGAGAAAGCAAACTTGCACAAGTCGCAAATATTTCTGTTTACTCTAATCTTCCCCTACCCAACCAGGATTTAAATCGCGCTGATCTCGCAAACAGCTGATACTTATATTTCCCTACTCTACCATAGTAAAGTGTATTGGATGGATATATAATTTAGGAAATTTGAGAAGTCTATCGCTGTTAGGTTAGGTTGCGATGGCTACCAATCTTACAGACCGGATTCACTTAGGCCTGACTTAGACCCATTCAGGCCTAAGTGAGACTCATTCAGGCTTCATCCTCCATCCATTTTGATTCTCTAATAAACTTCATTAGATCCATGACTTTGATGTCAGCTGTCTTCGATAGATCTCGCCGTGCTCAATGCAGGACAGTGGCATAAGAGATGGGTAATCGTTTCCTCTTCTTCATCACCTTCTGTAGGGAGTCCCTAGTCTTTCTGTGTGGCGTCTTATCAGACGGTGGCCTGTCAGAACTCCTACAACTCGAGATCTCTACTTATCCTATTTCGGCCATGTGTGCCTGATCTTGTGGCAAGTTGTGATGTCATACCACCTTGCAGTGGCTTGTTCAAAAGACACACCAATGCGTTCTTTATCGGGAAGAATCTACTTGGTCGTACCCCGCCCAGCAAGTTCATCCGCGTTACAGTTTCCCACGATATCCCCATGACCCAGGATCCATTTGAGAGACAGTCTGTTCTGTTTGACCATCTCCTGTAAAGAGCGGTGACAGTTCAGCACTAATTTAGAATTGAACGTAAGCGAGCTCAGTGCTTTTAATGCTGCCTGACTATCGCTGAAATTGAAGAACGTTGTGATAGTTCAGGATGAGTTCGGACTAACCCTGCAATCAGCTTCATCAAATGGTTGCGGCAGCCATTGACGGTCAATGAGAATTAATTCTTCCAACGACAGCAAACAGTGAATATACCTCACTTGAAAAATAGCTTATGTAGATTATCTCTCTCTCTCCCTCTCTCTCGATATTCAACCAATTATTTCGGTTGCTATGGAAAAGACTAATGATATGATTTTGGGAAATAAAGCGACAATTGGTTTATGCATATACACGTATGTATATATAGATACCTTCGAATTGATACGATTTTCTGTTGCATTTATGGTTCGCTTAATGTTGAAGAAGGGTAGTCTGGAATTTTTTTTTAAGCGGCTGAAGGTATTTTATGAGTATTTTTATTTTATGTAAAAAGTTTTTTTGGAGAGGCTTAAAATCCCTGCCGAGGGAAAAACGAAAACAGAATACATATATATTTTTTATAACCTGTATGGATCTGTAAGATTGAAATCCATAACCCGTAGAACGAATAACTTAGCAGGAGTTTTCGACAGACTTACGAACAATTGATCGAATCTTTTAATGGGACAACTTGAATGCTACTTTCGTCCAGAGAAGCTGTGCGTTCAAAAAGCGTTCCGATTTCATAGCTAAATACATAAAACCAAGGCTAATGAAACGTTTTCGAAACACTTTCTGTTTTTAGAAATAAATTTTGTTCTTATCACGAACAGATTCATGCTTAAAATAAAAATATGGGGTTATCAAATTCTTGGTCTTAAAAATAGAAGCCTGTATATTGACATCTGTCAACCTTATTTTTGAAATCAAACATGTTTTGTTTTAGCTAAAGGTCAGGCATTAATGAAACTTGACAACAATAAAATATTAAATTCTATAACAAGAATGGCAATTCAAGCGTTGACACGTATAGTTTTTCAAAAGGAATCGTCCAACTACTCAAGCAATTTCTAAAACCTTAAAGAAACTTAAAGAGACTGGATCAGTTAGAGATATTGTAAAGCCTGTGAATCTTCATTTCGTTCGTTCCATTTGAAATGTTGCTACGGTTAGTGATAGCAAATATGTTTATTTTTCGACACTCTCAAAAGCTGGGTCTTTCTTACGGTACATATATTTTGCACTTGACCTTACCTACATCCACATAAAGTACAGCTCACACAACAACTGAAGGGATACCATTCACAACGCCGCATATACGTCGAACGATTGTTCGAACAAAAGTTACTTTAGCGGCGAGGCACATTTCTTTCACCGGCGGTACGCAAATAAGCATGTCGCATTTGTGGCACCGAAAATGCTCAAGAAGAGGACATTTTCCCAAAAAATCTTACTGTTTGTAGCGCTCTTTAGTGTGGTCGCATGATAACAGACTTGCTTGGGCTGTAATTGAAGACAATGCCTTGGATAATATTTGGCTTCAGCAAGATGGTGCTGCATGCTAAACAATACGAATGATTTTGAATTAATTTCGAGAGAAATTGAAATTTCCAGTCTTCGACTTTCTTTGTGGGGCTACCGTGTTTATGCGGATAACCTTTGGTTTGGAGCACTTGAAAACCAACATTTGTCAAGTTGTGGCTGAGATATGTGTCAAAAAGTTTTCGAAGGTTATCTTAAACGGATCGAGGTTTGAAAAACAGTTGCAAGGTGGTCAATTGAATGATGGGGTGTTTCGCTTATAACGTTA